ACGTGTGTATATTACCCACTTACATATACATCTGTGCATAAACACTAAGTGAAAATCAATGATACTATATTATACTGATTCTACATACTACCAGCAATGAGTATATTCCGTGCATGGGCTTAGTTGAACTTGTCAGGTTAATACATACCGAGTTCGTCTTTTCCACTACTGGGAGGTGGTCTTAGATTCGCTAGAGCCACGATTTCGTGTCCGTTGCGCACACACTCAATAATGTTGTAGCAACTATCCTTGCCTCCACTGATCAATGCTACCACCTTCATCGTGTGTGTTTACAGGTCTCGATCGAAGTCAAGCAGAGCGATGGCTATTCAATCAACTGGGTTTTCTTTAAATCCACAACGAAGTTGGAGGGGATGGTGTGCTGTGTGCGTGAGCTATCTAGAACGGTTGAACATTTGCCACCACTGACTGTCGACTGTATTGGCTACTGTGCTGTTGGTTTACATATGAATGAAGGAGATGTATTATATATACACAAATGTTCACTGTAGTTGTTGTGTAAAGGTCGAGAGAAGTGATGACCACGGAATCTATGGCATTCCATTGGCCCATGGCGAAGTGACTGTTCCACGCGACCCAGAATTGCATGACACATAAAACCATCACCGATTTCTCAGACCATTCAACATTGAACACACAGCTACCCTGAGTAAGTATGTGTATATAATACATATACCCCATTATAGAGCATTACAAGTACGTACACTGCACCAACGCCATACCACACACACACACGCGCGCACACGCACACACACACACACACGCACACGCACACACACACACACGCATTGACTTGAGGTGTTCTAATCTCTCAGAATGGCCACAGAGCAACTGCAGGCGGCGTTACAAACCGAGATCACTCGCGTACCTGTAGATCAACAGCAACTGCTCAAATGCTTCAGCGACATACAGATGCATACTAAGACCGCTCAGGGCCGCACTGAGATGGGCCTCTTAGACATGCCCATGTACATCTCGGCCTTTTGTGCTGCGTGTGCGTTGGGGGTAGCTCAACGTGATATAGTCACAGACAGAGACGAGTTTGAGCATGCGCTGGTGCGGTTGCGTAGTGGCATGATGGCGCTGAGGAACTTATGTGCAGGTGGTGCTGCGATACAGAACCAAGCTATCACAGACTGTCTGGTGGAGGGGTTGGTTGCGATGATCGATAAAGTGCATTGCATGGAGAACGGGTATGACCGTGTGCGTGTTGTGGCTGGATCGTTGATTGAATGTACTGTCGTGTGTGCTAGTGAGAGATATTAGACCAGTGCATATGGCCGTACAACTGTGTGTTGATATCATCTATGACGTGTTATTGTTTGTTGATTTGTTTGTAGTTATCTGTTCGCATTTATGTATATGTCTACAGGTGTATATGTATATATGAGTTAAGTGTACCGGTGCACATGTTTGTGTGAGAAGCGTGTATTGGTTACATGTACCTGTGTACATGCTTGTAATAGTTATGTCTAAATGTGTATATGTATATATGAGTTATGTGTACCGGTGCACATGTTTGTGTGAGACGCGTGTATTGGTTACATGTACCTGTGTACATGCTTGTAATAGTTATGTCTAAATGTGTATATGTATATATGAGTTATGTGTACCTGTGTACATGCATGTATTAGTCACATGTGCCTGTGTACATGCATGTATTAGTTACATGTGCCTGTGTACATGCATGTAATAATTACGTGTACTTGTGTACATGCATGCATCAGTTACGTGTACTTGTGTACATACATGTATCAGTTACGTGTACTTGTGTACATGCATGTATGAGTTTCGTTTACCTGTGTACGTGCATGTATTTGTTACGTGTACCTGTGTACATGCATGTATGAGCTTCGTTTACCTGTATACATGTAGGTATGAGCTATATGCAGGTTAGACGCATTCACATTTCTCTGGTTCTTTGAAGCTCCTTTCCGTTGCCACTGTTTTCAAATTTGTGAGTTTCAAAGGCTTTAGGTTGCCGAAAGGAATGTTAACAACGTACGCCTGTACAGTTGTGTATCTATCTCAGCTCACTTGCTGTGTATATACCAATACATGTGATCCTCTGACTATAGCAACATGTACCTACCTACGTACAGTACATTACATAGCATCTCTCACTTGCTGTGTATATACCAATACATGTGATCCTCTGACTATAGCAACATGTACCTACCTACGTACAGGTCATTACATAGCATTTCTCACTTGCTGTGTATAAACCAATACATGTGACCCTCTGACTATAGCAAAATGTACCTGACTACGTACAGTTCATTACGTAGCATCTCTCACTTGCTGTGTAAATACCAATACGTGTGATCCTCTGACTATATCGACATGTACATACATGCGTACATTTTATTGTATATCTTAGCACACTTGCTGTGTATATACCGATACATGTGATCCTCTTATCTGCGAAGTTTCAGATGTGTAGCTATCGAATAGTGGGGCTATTTAATACCTCATCCCTTTGCATGCGTGTGTGTTGTAGTGGTTAGTTCATACCGTAAGCACACAACTGCGCACATACTTACACAGACATATGTGTGTGTGTGGTTAAACGTGTTGGCTTGCACTTGGTTAATGAATGCACAGGACAAGGTGTGGTACCCATTGCAGGAGTGACATTAGTCCTATGTACAATATTTGTCAACTACAAGTCCATACACACACACTGATGAGTCATCACCACCTCTTTCACTCTGCACCACTTCAGTATAGTCAATGCTACACTGAGGACGTGTCTGCAGACACTGTTCAACGGCTGTGTGGGCAACAGCCACACATCAACCATTGTGTGGCAGTGGATGTTCCCTACGGCTATTCAGCGCATTATGGATCATGCACAACGACAACAACAACAACACACTCTTTCATCCACATCTACATTACCCACATCATCTGCAACAACCACAGCCCCTACGCCTGCCCCACCTGCAACCGACCCGACAGCCACCGCTGCGTCACCCGCAACGCCCACCAGTGCAGCACACACTGCCATGGCGAGTGAGGCGCATGGGCTGCTGTGTCTGGTTGAGAGTCTAGTGCACGTGTGTGCCGTGTCACACGAGAGTGTGTACGACGACCTGTTAGGTGTGCAGGGGCAGTGGCTGTGGTGGGCAATGGTTGCACACTGGGCCACCGTTCTCTTCAGCGACGGTACGTCCTCTATTGCGTATGGCGTGATGTGATGTGCTGTGCTGTGTTCTGTTCTGTTCTGTTCTGTTCTCATGTGATGTGACGCGATGGGTTGGTTTGGGTTGGATCATACGTACACAGTCTAGATAGTCCGTATGTGTCTATTCTCATCACACGTCAGCCTATACAGGTTTGTGGTTCATTTACATACGCACGTATTGTTTCTAATTGCGTGTGTATTGACCATCTGCATCAGACGATGACGACAGCACTACTGAACCGTTGACTTGTGATTGGATGGCGTTGTTGACAGCTCACGCCATAGACGGTGACCGATTCCCCGCAGCGTACGAAGCACTGTCACACACACAGAGAGATATACACACAGACACGCACACAGACACACACAGAGAGAGAGACACACAGGACATCACACACCCCACGGCAACGGATGAGAGGGCAGCAGACGGCCATACAGCCCACACAATACGCACCAACCACCTCGTTCCCACCGTCCTGCCCTGGTTTTTGGTCCAAACGGTATGCACATGTGGGTTTGGGTATAGGGTTTAGGAGTTAGGGGTTTCAAACCCTAAAACCCTACAGCAAATGGATACACAAAGAGGTAAATATACAATCGATGGTACACAAACTTGTCTGTCTTCTAATTATAGTTGCAAATTAGTTAGAAATTAGTAGCGCATTAATCGCTCATGCCACAATCATCAGGTGGAAGATGCTTCGCGAGTGGTCATCAGCACTACAGCCGCCACAACACCCACAGCAACCGATGCCAACGACAACAGAGTCATACGACTCACACTACACACAGTCACTTACGTGGCACAGCAGGCGGTGAACTGTATCCAGGCAGTGGTATGTCTTTGACTTGCGTGAATTAGTTAGTGTCATGCGTTAATTAGTGCCATGCGTTGATTAATTAGTGTCATGACTTATATTGTGTCATGCGTTATTTAATTAGTGTCATGAGTTACATGTGTCAATTAGTGTGACATGTTAACGAGTGTCATGAGTACTCTTACTTCAGTGTGTTGCGCCACGTCAGCTGCAATTGCGCGCCCATTCGCTTTCTTTTGACATCTCATCACACGCTCATTGACTAAGAGCCAACATTCACATATAACTGTGAGCCAACATTAACACACGACAACCCTAACCCCTAAAACATTAACATATAACTGTCAGCCAACAATAACACACGACACCACTGAACCCTAAAACATCAACATATAACTTTCAGCCAACAATAACACACGACAACCCTGAACCCTAAAACATTAACATATAACTGTCAGCCAACATTAACACATAGCCATACCATGTGTCTCTGTTGCTGAGCCTTTTCTCTTTTGCTGAGCCAACATTAACACACGGCAACTCTAAAACACACAAACCCTAAAACCCTATAACTCTATAACCCTAGCTTGCAGAGGGAGAGTCTTTCTGGAGTGATTTGGAAGCGAAGAAACCATCGGCTGTGATGGCACTCACTCGGCTCAATGCATTACTGGCGGCCATGTGCGCAATCACCGCCGCAGTGCACACCTACGTATGTGGCCCATGCACTATCTGTATTACATAAGTCTTCAGGTGTACGTATATGTC